AACATTGTATCAGAATATTTTGAAATCAACTAGAAAACTACTGTACTTTTGGAGAACTGATGCATAGTGTCATGGCCAGATGATAATAATACTTTATGAAACTTATATTCCCAGGGACGTCGCTACCGGGTTGTGTGGGTGGTAGGGCGGGTGAGGTAACACCCCCAATAAATAAAAAAGTAGGTAAACGTAGGTCAAAATGGAAAATATTTGGTTAAAGTTGGTCAAAGTTGCAGGTCAAACTTGGCAAACGTTTGTCAAAGTTTGCGAACAAAGTTGGTGAAAATTGTTTAAAGTTTCAGATAAAAGTTCTTAAAATTTGGTAAAAGTTATGAAATCGCTCCCAATTTTAACAATTTGTAAGATTTGTTAATTTTAGTCCGAAGGTTTGGTAAAGTTAGTCCGGAAAAAAATTGAAGCTATACTTACGTTAGTCCGGAAAATATTTTTCATAAGTCCCCCCCTGTCGACAACATTTTGTGGGAAACATTTTTTGGAGTTAGTCAAAATTGTATAGGAAAAGTTGGTCACTGCAGTGCTAAACACAAAGAATGGTCAAAATCATAGCAAACACATAGGGGCCATTCACAAAGAATGTCCAAGCCGATGGGGAGGGGGTTTTGAAAGTCAGGACAAACTCGGACATGGGGGGGGGAGGGTTTTTTTTAGCAATCTGTATGTCCGAATTTTAAAAAAATTCAAAAACAAACTTTTTGCCTCTATTTTGAACTCTCCTTCCCAATGTGAAATTGGCATTTTGAACACTTCATAATATTATCTAATTTTTTCCTTCAATGATGAATTCAACAGTGTCGGGAAACAATCGCTTTCTGCATTTATAACTCTTTTTGTATTCATATTTAATTATAAAAAAAGATATACAAGGTTGCGTGAGTTTTTGCGAGACATAGCGGATGTCCGGGGGGGGGGGAGTTCTCTAATTCGGACAATGCCGGCCAAGGGGGAGGGCGGCAAAATCCATCATTTGGACGGACATCCTTTGTGAATGGCCCCGTAACAAAATGTACTTACAGTTTTAACGATATTTTGCAAGTTCAAGCAAAGTGTTCCTTTTTTTTCGAGCTCTTGGTTTCGAACTTCCAGTACTTTATAGTTTATGTTCCATCTCTTTCTTTCTATACTCAATTACATGATTCGTTTTATTTCTTAAAATCTCTACCATAGCTGTTTTCTTGGCTCTTAACAAATCGTTTCCTGATGCTTTTCTTTTTACTGTTCCTCGAGCAGTTTCTAGTGCGACTTGTCTTACATCCACTACTTGACTCCTGTCCTCGTCTTTTGCACCTTTTTCTTCTTTTTCTTCTTGACTCCCAAAAAGAGAGACAGCCTCCGCAATATCGTCATCAAGTTGACTAGGCTCAGCAGTGCAAATGCCCCGAAGTATTGATTTCCGTTCTCTCTGGCCAACAAATGTTTGCTATCGCGTACAGCCCTGATATACTTCAAGTTGAGCACTGTATCTGCTCTAGAAATTAAACTATCAACGATGTTTTCCAAAATTTCTTCAATCAACTTGAGGTCATGTTGGTTAGTCAACTTCATCGTTTTCATGAGTAGAGATTTACTGCAAAACAATATAGAACTTGGGTTAAATTACTGAAAGTCAGTTCATCGAAATATATTTTTCGTAAAAATGCTTACCTTTGCTTGTTTCATTCGGCCACCACGCAGGTAAAGTACAAAATACCAGAGTTTCTCAACACAGCACTAAGTGGCTTTGTCAGGAGAACGCGAACGCCTTCCTATAAATGCTTTTGAAAGTAAGCTTTGTCAAAATCGTCACCCTGTGCTCATTAAACGCATGGTTTAACAAGCGTATTCCTTATATACATAGTTTTATTGAGTCATTGTAACCCTAGTATGGGTTCCCTAGTATTAAAGCGCCAGTATGTTTTTCCGACCGATGGAACTAACATCAAGACAAGCGCATTAGCTGAAAATGTCAAATTTCTTTTTCCAATTTTCAGGTGGTGTATTATCTACTTTCACTTTTCGATACGAATATTGGCATCCATCGATAAAGGTAAAAGATATGGACCATTTAAAAACTTTCAATCATATAATTAACTCCCATGCTCATTAATGGACAGATAGATGTCGCGATCTATCCAGCTAATTAGTTCTTATATGTCTTTGTTACAGATCGATCAAGAAAAACAGGGTTAATTAAAAAGGTAATTCAATGGCTTCCAAAAAGATCATAGCCAAATACGAAAAGTGTTTACAAACGTGTATTTCAAATCGCGATCCGTTAGGAATAGCAAAAAACAACGATCATTTGGGTGATTTGTATGCTACTTTAGGAGAGAATGGAATGGCCATTCAGAATTATGAAAAAAGTTTACAAATTTACACTCAAGTTAGCCATTCGTCGGGAATGTTAGAAAGCAATACAAAGTTAGGCAATACATATCTTAGTCTAGCAGAATACGAAGAAGCTATAACATATTACAAAATGAGTTTAGAAATAAGCACCAGAATTGGTCTTCGATCAGTAGTAGCAAATAGCAATTGCAGATTGTGCGTTGCCTATCGGTGCAAAGGAAATTATAAAGAAGCTATTACCTATGGCAAAAACGGTTTAGAAATAAGCACTGCTATTGGCTTTAGGTCAGGAATAGCAAGTAACGCTACCAATTTGGGCATTGTCTATCGATGTATAGGAGAATATTGGAAGGCCATTGACTATTGCAAAAAAGGTTTAGAAATAAGCACTTCTATTGGCGATCGGTCGGGAATAGCAAGTAACATTGGCAATTTGGGCAATGCTTATCGGTGTTTAGGAGAATATCAGAAGGCCATTGACTATTATAAAAACGGTGCAGAAATAAGCACTGATATTGGCGATCGGTCAGGAATGGCAAGTTACAATGGCAATTTGGGCAATGCCTATTTAAGTTTAGGAGAATATCAGAAGGCCATTCACTATTACAAAAAAAGTTTAGAAATAAGCACTGCTATTGGCAATCGGTCGAGAATAGCAGGTAGCAATGGCAATTTGGGCAATGCTTATCGATATTTAGGAGAATATCACAAGGCCATGGACTATAACAAAAATGGTTTAGAAATAAGCACTGCCATTGGCGATCAGTCAGCAATGGCAAATAACAATCACAATTTGGGGAATGTTTATCATTGTTTAGGAGACTATCAGAAGGCCATTGATTTTTTCAAAAAGGGTTTAAAAATAAGCACTGCTCTTGGCGATCGGCCAGGAATAGCAAGTATCAATTGCAATTTGGGCAGATCTTATGGATGTTTAGGGGATTATCACAAGGCCATTGACTATTTCGAAAAAGGTTTAGAAATAAACACTGCTACTGGCAATCGGTCAGAAAGAGCAATTATCCTCAGCAATTTAGGAAATACGCATCGATGTCTTGGAGAGTATGAGGTTGCAAGATCACTCTTAGTGGAGTCAATTAGTCTCTTCGATAGGATCTTTCTAGATTTGGTTCCGGATGAAAATAAGCTATCGTTCACGAAGCAATATTTCGAGTCTCATAGAGGTTTAATGAGTTGTTTCGTTTCTTTGGAACGTATTGAATCCGCATTATTGGTCATTGACCTTGGTAGGGCTAAAGAGCTCCATTGCTGCGTTGAAAAGCATAAGAATTTTGTGAACAAGGACATGTTCGATTATGCACGTGCGATATGGAATAGAATCGAGGCCAAAGAAGAGCGAAGAAAAATGAAAGAAATGCAAACATCTCTCCATCTTGGAAAAAATGATACCTCAATCTTACTATTTGCTTTTAATTCGAAAGATTCTCTTATTTTTTTGGTTTTAAATGATGAAGTTATCTTTAGAAAATTAGATGCATGTTTGGAAACATTAGTGTCTCTAATTATGGAACTTCTTGAGAGAGTAAAAGTTAGTGTTCATCGGAATTCTTCGTTTTGCAACTTCAATCCAGTTGTTGATTCTCATAATCAAATAATTTTTCCATTCGAATTGCCGGACAGAAAGCCACTCTCTAAAAATGCGTTTGAAAATACTGCTTGCTCTAATGATTTGAGTAATCGAGAAATTTTGGAAATATTGTTCAAACTTTTAGTTTATCCTGTGAAAGATCTCGTCAACGGCAATAAGCTGATTATTGTCCCAGACGAGCAATTGTTTTTTACACCGTTTTCAGCATTAATTGATGAAAATGGATCTTATTTATCCAACAGTTACAGCGTTCAAATTACACCTTCATTGCATACCCTAATGTGTACCATGGAAGAATCCTGTGACTCAAACTTTGGTTTTGCTTTGTTTGTTGGTAATCCAACTGTTGGAAAAGTTTCTTTAAACGGAGAAGATCTTACACCGTGTGGTCTTCCTAGTGCCGCTGAAGAAGTGAAATGCCTCTCAAAGCTTTTCCAAGCTACCCCTTTATTGGGACGCGCTGCAACAAAGGAAGTAGTATTGCAACTTCTAAATGGAGCTAGTATAATCCATATCGCGGCCCATGGCGAACCAAATCGAGGTGAAATAATGCTTGCGCCAAACTCTTCCCGGGTGCAGCCATGTTTGACTGTTCCCACGCCAGAGTCATATCTTCTCACACAGCGAGATATTCTAAATATGTCTGTGCAAGCTCGCTTGGTAGTTTTATGCTGTTGCCATACTGGGCAAGGTGAAATTACTTCGGAAGGTGTCATAGGTATAACTCGAGCATTTCTTGCAGCCGGAGCGCGCTGTGTTCTTGCCACACTATGGCCCATTGACGATAATGCCACAAAAGAGTTTATGGAAAAATTCTATAGCGAACTCTGTCAAGAAACACCAGTTTGTGAAGCTTTAAGAAGAACAATGAACCTCTTTCAGAAACACGAAATAGAAGTTTATCGATCCGTTAGAATCTGGGGTCCATTTACCGTCTATGGAGAGGACGTGAAGTTCAATAAGAATGAGATTGAGCAAATCAGAGAAAAATCTCGTGAGATGTTTTCTGGTTTTGTAGTGCTTTAATTTAAGAATGCTTTTAATCTTTAGCAGGCATCATCTGTATCGTTAAAATGTCATCTTTCTTTTTAGTTGTATTCCAAGCATAAGCCATTATCAATACCATGCCGTAGAATGGACTACTGGCTGAACATGCTCCTAATTATAGCGTCTTTCTGCACGTTAAATTGTTTGGAGCGATTAAAAGGTTACACAATGCATCGAATTGTATTTTGAAATTATATTCGACTTCCTTCAAGATAACGTTCAAGATAACGTTTGCTTACCGGTTGTTGATGGGTGGGAACGTTCTTATCGCATCGCTCGACGTTTCTGCAATTGTTACTTTGTCCAAAAATACTAAAAGGAATATTAATTTTTTAACTTGAGTTGTGTGCTTCATGTTGATTAAAATGAGATTCGGAGAAAACAACACCGTGAAATTGCCAAAGTTGTTGGTTCACGGAAAAACAGTAAAAGGTGTATAGTTAGCTTTAGATTTTTAGAGTTGTATTTCCGTTTGTGAAACAGGAGTTTCATCGTACTAAAGTTGCCAAGTTGCTGCATTTGATACTTTTAAGGAAATAATTGGAGAAATTCTTGTTTCTGAGAAGTTGTTGTTGAGAATTATGTGTGAATTGCCAAGCGCAAAATCTGATATTGCGATATCTTGTTTCTTATCTAGTTGCTGTAGTGTTTACATTAGAAGAAAACAGTTTAGCTTTGAGTCTGTTCCTTGTTCGTTGTTGAGAGAAAAGTATCAACCTGTGATTGCAGGGTATCTAGTTTTCCGTAGCAGGAGCAGAAATGTACAGGATGTATAAAAAAAGGTGACCCAAATTTGACATGTTATGCGCATTAAAGGTATTAAGATTATATAGAATCTGATTTACTTTATTACACTGACCTGAAAGGTCAAGTGTCTTAAATCCTCCTTTTTCTGTTTTTTTTTTCGTCGAGAAATGGAGTTTGCGTTAGCGCATCGAAGGCTCAAGGTGCAACGATTAAGCCAAAATGCCATCGGTTCAAATGCCATCGATTTCTCGACTGCTTGATTTACTTTTCATCGTAACAAACTCGTATCTATGTACGTAGTAGCCGGCTGATGCCATGCTTGTGGTACATCTTTCTTTATTAGCGCATACACTTGTACGCACGCGCACAATTACCAGTTTCAGACCTCCTGAGTCCCTATCTCCCTATCCTAACATAGAATATAGTGGAATACAAGTAACAAGGACAAGTTAAAGGTTTGACAGTTTGACTTTAGTAAACAACTATAAATATACGTTGTAGACTCATAAAAATCCGTTGTGTACTTGTGTTCATTTTTGTGTCGCACTCTGGACTTTCGTACGTGTTGAATTAATGTTTTTCTTTTTGTATTAAACGACTCGAAAACCCCAAAATTTGGACCCAGCAAATTTATACAATATATTGGAACATGAACAAGGACAAGTTAAGGTTGACAATTTGACTACACAACGTAGTTTTAATTGAACAAAATCTCCTAGTTCCTTACGATAGTTTTAGCCAAATGTCGACAATATATCTTACGTACATGTATTAAATTCGCGCAGTACTAGAATTCGTGTAGCGCTGGGTGCGCAAATTTTAGTACTGCGCGAAATATAATCCGCGAAAAGAGCTTTGTGCGCTACAGTAAAGATAAAGCGGTGCGTTCAAAATACCAACAAGGACTAAAACATTTATTGTATGGTTCTCATTTGCTTTATAAAACAATAACATTAGTTGGACGCGAATTTTAATACAAGTAAGGTATGGTATCATATTTCATAATATAAGGAACAATGTAAATGTAAACTAGCCATACATTTCGCCGAACATATAAACTTCGGCCCGTTTGGACATATCTTTTTCGTAATAGTATTATTCGAACCAGAATCCAAAACACTATTTCTACACCATTTCACACTATCGATCGGGCTATAAAATACGGTCAAGCTCATGGTTTAATAAAAGACATTGACAGACGTGTTTGTTAAACTATTTACTGACGGTACTCTACCACTGACAAGTAAAATCGTCTGGCGGTACACGGTGTAAATTTGTCTGGCGTTAGTCAGAGTTATTACTGAAAGTAGTGTGTGTTGCCAGCTAATAGATTAGTAGACCTTAATATCCACTTGCTTATTAAATGATGAACGAGAAACAAGCAGGAAACATAGGGGATATAACCTTCATGTGCAGGCCTGCCATTCTACCAATGATGAAACGTGGAAATGATGCCATTGGGTCATACCATTGGGTCAAAAGTAAACTTCCCTTTAGAGAATTGTTTAGAAATACAAACTTTTGCATTCAGATCATGTGGCAAAAAGGCAGCACTTTCCTTGCGATAGTAACTTGCGATAGTAATTTGCACCATAGCCGCATATAGGTCTCCCGAAAAGGTCTTTTATTTTTTTAAAAAATCCATACAATTTTCTTGCGGTTTACGACTTGATTCTTGTATACTGCATCATAGCACGTATGTCGTCATTTTCAGGTCAGTGTGAACGCCTGAGCAGGTGTCTTGTTCTAGTTTATAAATATCTGACATTTGGCTGTCAAGTGAAACCTTTTTGTTTCATGCTGTTAAAAAATTGACAAATGCAATCCAGAATGAAATTCTATTAAGTCTATAAACGTAGTATCTAGCGCGCGATAACATGTCCACGCTGCCTTTTAATTGGTTTTGTGGTTTAAAGTTGTTACCCAGATTGCCATAGCTGTCGCTTCATGAGAACCCATGCAGTGGGAAAAAAAAGTTTTGCTTTGTTTAACTAAATGTCAGGTGAGTTGACAATCTTTAAAATATCTTTTAATTTTAAAACATTTAATTCAATGATTGTCTTAGTGAAGCTCTTTAATAGTCATAAGAAGATAATGATTGCTCAGCGAACCTAAAGTTCTGGGCGATATCTGGCTTGTGGTAAGTATGCATTATCGTCAACCATTCTGATATTAACACGGAGTCCACTTGTTCAGGCCAGACAATACCTTGCTGATTGTTGCCAATGAGTTGACCTATGTATATATGAGTAGTCGCATGCCCTATTGACTCATTGGAGAAACATGTTGTAGAAACAATAGCTGACGATTTATTCATTAAGTTATTTTTCATGTTCACTTTAAGAACATACGATTACATCTGTTGGGAAGTTTAAATTTGTCTCTGTCTCCAATATTTGGCAACCACATCTTAAGAATCGGCCTAAATTAACCAGATCAATCAGTGGTCAAGAAATACACATTGAAATTATATGCATGCAGCCTTTTAGCAAATACTCTGTTTTCTTCACACTAATGGTTGTAAACTATAGTTATATGGCTAATTTGTATCTTAATGTATTTCTAATAATAACTTATTTTAGGTGTTTCTTATATTTCTAACTAGCCATATTCCTGTGTGTCCTAGCCTGAGTAGCAGGCGTATTCGCGGGCACGAGAGAACGGGAAGCTAGAAATACTGCCTGCCCATAAACTACACATTCTGAGTTCTCCGGCAGCTGGGTGACTGAGCATTCTGATTGGTCAGAATGTTCATTTTGAAGTTTTGATTGACAGGAGTAAAGAATTAGATTAATTAGTGGTAATTTTATAAGTTACTGTTGCCGTATTATAAACTATTGTTATTTTCGTACTTGATACCGATATATTTATGATACCGATGTATTAATTGAGAATTAAGCGTTGAATTATTTAATCTTTATTTGGAATCGGTAATCCAATCGTCTTGAAGAATGAACAACGAATATCAATCCAACATTTGTTGCTTGATAGAGATGTGATACCGTGATAAAAGATGCATATTTGAAGATACAGGCTCGCAAATGACACTCTAAGTCGTGTTTTTGATAGCGGTTAGAACAAGAGAAGTTACGTCCGAAGGGGCCGAAGTTATGTTCAGCGAAAGGTATGGCTAGTCTATATTTTTGTTCAGACAATGGCGTAATTTGATAATATACGAACTCGCTTGACTTTCAAAGCTAATAAATCGCTATGATGTTGACATCGACTAAAACTATCGCTATGAATGAGGACATATTGTTACACTGAATCGAACGTGGTATTTTTGTCTTCATAGCATTGAATGAACCGAAGATATGAAACGTCAAAGCCGTATATATTTGCACTGGTGCAAATACAATACGTAAGTTTGACAAATAAATACATTAAGATGGGCGGAACCATGCGTTCGGTGGGCGGAACTCAGAATGCATGTGTAGGTTTTGGGCAGGCGGTATTTCTAGC